GGTGCCTCCTTGGGTACCTCGGGTACCACTCCCAATAAGCATGTGCATGACAACTATTGAGCACCTTGGGTATTGGGTCCCTCGGGTACCCCTCCCAATAAGCATGTGCATGACAACACTTGGGCACCTCGGGTACCTCCCTGGGTACCTCGGGTGCCTCCTTGGGTACCTCGGGTACCACTCCCAATAAGCATGTGCATGACAACTATTGAGCACCTTGGGTATTGGGTCCCTCGGGTACCCCTCCCAATAAGCATGTGCATGACAACACTTGGGCACCTCGGGTACCTCCCTGGGTACCTCGGGTGCCTCCTTGGGTACCTCGGGTACCACTCCCAATAAGCATGTGCATGACAACTAAGCATGTGCATGACAGCCATTGGGCACCTCGGGTACCTCCCTGGGTACCTCGGGTGCCTCCTTGGGTCCCTCGGGTACCCCTCCCAATAAGCATGTGCATGACAACTATTGAGCACCTTGGGCATTGGGTCCCTCGGGTACCCCTCCAAATAAGCATGTGCATGACAAAACTTGGGCACCTCGGGTACCTCCCTGGGTACCTCGGGTGCCTCCTTGGGTACCTCGGGTACCCCTCCCAATAAGCATGCGCATGACAACTATTGAGCACCTTGGGTATTGGGTCCCTCGGGTACCCCTCCCAATAAGCATGTGCATGACAACACTTGGGCACCTCGGGTACCTCCCTGGGTACCTCGGGTGCCTCCTTGGGTACCTCGGGTACCTGGGGCAGGCGCGAGGAGGATATGCAAAGGAGCGAGGAGGATGTAGAGGAGGCAGGGGAGGAGCGAGTAGGATGTAAAGGAGCAAGGAGGAAGGAGAGGAGGAAGGATGATGTGGACGAACATTTGAGAAAGACAGTTATCGTGCTGGGAGGAAGGGGCTGGGAAGACACAAGGAACGAATGTGTATGTGTAAAAACACTTTCAACATACGTACTCGCTCATATGGATGATCTGCTCATTTCTCCCGACCCGATCCTCCAAACCCAGCAATTCTGTTTGAGAATCGGAAGGACAAGGGGGCCAAACCAATTCTCCGAGTGTGACTGCCTACCAGACCACCTCAACCCAACCAGAAGACCCGGATTTCGAATTGGGGGGGGGCACGGGCTTCACATTATGGAGATGGATGGCAAACCGGGGCCTTCGGGATGGGTTGGGGTGGTTTCGGTGAGCCCACTGCGGGTTGGGTTGGTTGGTTGTGCGCACTGCGGGCTGACTTCGGGCAAACCGGGGCCTTCGGGTTGGGTTGGTTGGGTGTGCGTCCGCAGGTCGAACACACCTCTGCGGACGGTCGCGACGGCCCCGACCGATCGCAAAAACCTACCTCCGTCTGGCGCTCGGTTTCTCCGAGACCCCAGGCTGGAAGGAAAGAGCACGGGGACAATAACCAAGACCGAAGGCAGACGTGCCCATGTTCATCTTGGTCAACGTCGATCCGTGGAAGATCCTCGCGAATCGGCGACAGCCGACATAGACCGAGGCCAAGATGGGCATCGACAAAATCCAGCGACATCTTAGCCATGGTCCCAGTATTGGAGGCCTGGAAATGGGCACCAACACCAACACATGGGGCTGCCTCCACAGGGGGAAGATGATCCTAGATATCGGTGCTGGTGGTAATACCGTAGCACCCCGCAGATGCGGATAAGAGTGAGGGGGCGGTGGGGACATCGGCAGTTTACGAGACTCTGGAGAAGCCCGCCGCAGGCGCCAAAGTTTCACACATTATACAACGAGCCCGCCGCAGGCGCAGATTTTTTTCGTGAAACCAATATCTGGGTAGGTCGCGGGTGGGTCGCAAATGGGTTGCGGGTGGATTGTTGTTGGGCCGCGGGTGGGTCGCGGGTGTAGAGGGCAGAAACTTCAACCCATAATAATCACCCCGACAAGCGAAGCCGTTTTGTAAACGCACACAAGGAATGAATCGAACAGGGCAGGGCTGCTTAGTAAACGCAGGGCCGTTCAATAAACGTCAATTGTCGGGTCCGGGTGGTTTTTCTTCCTTTGAGGGTGGGTCGCGGGGCGGGTCGCGGGTGGGTCGCGGGTGGGTCGCGGGTGGGTCGCGGGGTGGGTCGCGGGTGGGTCGTGGATTGGGTCGCGGGTGGGTCGCGGGGTGGGTCGCGGGGTGGATCGCGGGTGGGTCGCGGGGTGGGTCGGGGGGTGGGTCGCGGGTGGGTCGCGGGTGGGACTACGACAACAACAAACAACAACAACGCAGAAGGGCCCCCAGAGGCCGAAAATCATGAAAAACCTCCCGTCGTGATTTTTCTCCTTGCTCGAGGGGGTCTGGGAGAGGGGGGAGAGAGAGAGAGAGAGAGAGAGAGAGAGTGAGAAAAAAAAAAGAAAAAAAAAACGAGAGAAAGAGAGAGAGAGAGAGAGAAAGAGTCAGGTGTTGCTAGAAGTGCCCCTGGCAAAGGGTGCCCCCAGCTTTGCACTCCACGTTGGAAGCCTTGGCGCCGCCTGGGCCTCGTGAGGGGTGCTCTGCAGACCGCGGGGGCCTCCCGGGGAATCCCGGGGGCACCTTGGGCCAGGGGCACTTCTAGCAACACCCGAGAGGGAGGGAGAAGCGGAGGAGGCGGCCAGAGGAGAGAGCAGGCCGAAGGGGAGGGCGCACGCCCACGCGTGCCGCGATCCTCCGCCAGCGGCAAGACGTTTTCCTGGTGGGAGAGCCAGCGTCCGGCGGCCACTCGCGGGGGCCTCCCACTGAAGGGGCCCTGGGACACACACGAACCGATAGACACATGTTACAGGATTCCCCATCTGTTCCGATAGGTATTTCCTGAGTTTCCGTCTTCTCCCCAAACTTCCCATATCTTCCTGGGAGTCGACGATTCATTGTGTCTGGGTTCGTCCCTCCTGACCCACACCATCCCGTTGGCTCTTGTCAATGGACGCTGGTCGGCGCACAAATAAATGCACACAAATACAGCCGAGCACTTGATCAAGAAAAATATGGCTTAAGAAACTGGGCCCAGCTCTCTGGAAGTTTCGTGCGACGAACCTGGGCCAGGTGTTCGTGCTAACGCTGGAGGGGCGAACGCGCTCAAGAAATTGGGCCAACTTTCGGACAAGTGTGTTGAAAACGATGGCCCAGCTTTCTGGGAGGAGGTTTCTTAACCAGCTGCTCGACTGTAACAGGATTCCCCATAACTTCCCATATGTTCTTGGTTTTCGTCTTCCCCCCCACTTCCCATCTGTTCCCATATCTTCATGGGAGCCGACGGTTCATTGTATCTGTGTGTTTTTTCCCTCCTGACCCACACCATCTCGTTGGTTTGTGCGAGTGGGCGCTGATCGACGCTAAGTGGACGCCCGTCGACGCAACATCGGCGTCATCTCATCGACTACTCGTAGACGCTAAGAGACGCTCGTCGACGCCAAAGACGGAATTGAGAGGATATAGAAGGCTCCCAGGATTTGCCACCGATCCGACGCTTGAGGAGGAGGGAGGCAGGGGCGGGGAGGACGACGAGCCGCGCGACTGCCAGCGCCGCGAACAAAAAGTGCCCAGGCCCTGTACAGTCGTCGTGCTGCCACAAGGCACGCTGAACGAGGAGCACGGATGAGCTACAACTGAGGCCCGCCCACAACACACCCGCCCACAAGAAACCCAACCCGAGACCCCAGGACGTCCGCTGCTTCTTGCTGTGGGGACGTCACGCCCTCCATGGCAAAGACCGCCGAGACCCAAGACACCCAGGGCACCCTGGAGGCAAGCAGGGTGCCTCTTCGCATGGGTTCCCACCGTATTCTGGCCACGGCGGGCCCGGCCGCGACCCAGCTCCCCGGGCGAAGCCTAGCCCCTCGAAGCCCAACGCGGGCCGCACTGCAGCGTCTCGACAGTCGTCGACTTCCCCGTGCCCCGGGTGCGCCACAGACGGGGGGCCTGGAGGACGGGGCGAGTGCTGTCATGATCAAGACCCGCCAGAGGAAGGCGACCAGAGCTGGGAAGCGCGCGATGTTTGGCAACGTCGTCACGGCGAAGGCGGAACATCCTGCAGGCCCTCCCCGCGAAGGCCCTCCAGGGCGAGTTCTGAGGGCCCCCTGGCCGGCTCCAGGCCCGGCGCAAGTGGCCGAACGACGGGCCGCCGGGGGACGTGTTGAGGGAAGCCATGGGGCCATGGTATCTGTCTCTGTGAGGATCGGGGGCCCCAGACATGTATAGTTACACTCGAGACTCTTGTTCACAGGTTGTCTGTTCACATGCTGAAGCCCAGCTCCGCTGATGAATGCGCGACAGTCAGCTTCCCAGCCAGGGTGTCCTCACGAATCGGAGATTCAGGTGGCGGGTGAAGATCGCAGTCCTCACCCCCATCCTGGACGCCCCCGAAAACAATCTTCCCGGACATCCGCCGTCATGATTTCTCCTATCCGCGGCCCCAGAGGTCCCGATCCATTCCCATGCGGGAGGGGGTTCGTCCCAGTGCTGTGCTTGATGGCCCCCAAGGCCTGCCAGCGGCCCCCGAGGGCCCGAGAGACGGAATCGTAGAAAAACCGCTGGTGGAGCAAGTCATACCAGCGGAGATCCAGGTCCTCCCACCCCATCGCCGGCAAAGGGCCACGGCACGACCCGCTCGGGTGCTGCCAGGGGCTGGCCCAGAAGGTGCCCCCAGACTTTCCAAGAAGCTCCCCACGGCCTTCAGAGTGGAGCGAGAAGCTGGGGGCGTCTGGGGCCTGGGGCACCTTCCATGGACCCAAAACAAAACGACACCACCCCACCTACGGCACGACGGCGCTGGAAATCCAAGCACTTGCCCTGTGCAGCCTCGGCTCCATCAAGCCGTCGCCGGCCAGGAAGCACCACGCGAAAGACAGCGAGGCAAGGTCGCAAACATTCAGCACGGCGCGCCGTAGGTGGGGTGGTGTCGAGTGTTTCTTGGTCGACTTCAGCAACATCCAGCCCGCAAAGGCCCCTCCGAGCCTCGGTCCGCCAGGCTGTGCGGCGCCGCCTCGTAGCGCGGGCTGTGGCTCTGCGACCTCGGCACGCCGCCCAAGCGTTGCCGACCGTGGCCGGGCCGAGCGTTGCGGGGCAGCGCTCGGGGGGAGGGGGCAGCTCAGGTGATGGGGGGGGAGGCCTCGACCTGGGATCGGCGATGCGTCGCCGACAGATCGGCGATAGACTCCCGATAGCAGATTCTCACGTCCCTGGGCGGGGAGGGGCTAGCGAGCCCCTATCGGCGATCGGAGGTCGATGCATCCCCCCCATGGGCCTACATATCCCTCACCCCACCCCCCCGAATCGTAGGCCCAGGACGCGCGCTTGATAGGAAGCTGGAAACGCACATGGCTGGATGGCTGGATCCACACATGTAGGCCATCCAGGAGCCTCGCACTGCAGAGGGCCGGCATCGACTGGACATGCGAGGGCCGAGCGCTGAAACGGGCTTTCGCCAAGGCCGGTCGCGCCATGCGTAAATTTCCAAAGTCCTTGTACGCCTTTCTGGCCTGACCGAGGCGGCGTGCGTAAACACCGATACTGAACCGCAGGATGGGTTCAGCCACGATCGGTGTCTGCTTGAAGTTACGAGGAAGAACAAGAAACAACGGCATACGCATAAACTTTTGGCGCTCCGCGCGGCTTTCTTCGATCTGCACTGAGCGCCGAAACTTCATGCTTGTGCCGTTGTTTCTTCGATTGAGAAGCTGTCGCCGTCCGATCAAGGTATGGGGCCATAAGCCGATCTCTTTGACTTGGGAGGGGTACAATCAAAAACCCTAATAAGGACGCGCGGTAAGGACGCAAGACCCTTGGATGCCGAAGTTGGGATTTCTGGGGCGGCGGACGACGAAAACCCCAAGGACGCAAGAGCAAGGAAGAGCAAGGACGCAAGGATACCCTGAGCAAGGACGTGGGTTCTTATCAGGGATTTTGACTTAAGGAGACACGCAGACACATCAACCAGCATATACATGCAGGCCTCGGGCGCTCGCAGATGGTTCCTCGAGGCCCCTGGGCCCCCGCAGCCCTGGGGCGGCTCCACTGCGCGCGGAGCGCCCTGGGGAGTATAGCGTGGGCAGCAGTGGGCTCCGCGCCAGCACAGAACCGTCCGACGAGGGCCCGAAGTCTGTGCTCACGCACGCGCTGCTCTGGAAGCAGAAACAGCGACATGAACATAACCTGTGACGCTCCGCGCGGACTTCTTGGATCTGCGCCGGGCCCCCCCTCCCTGGCTCGCGGAACGCGACAGGGGCGGCACCGGCAGCGCCGCTGGGGGGACCAGCGCGGATCCAAGAAATCCGCGCGGAGCGCCAAAACTTTGTTTTTATGCAACTTTTCATTCTTCCGAGTCCCCGCCCTCTTACGCACCACTTCCTGCCACAGCCCGGGCGACCACGCTGCCCAGACACCAGTGGCAAGAAGGCTTGGTAGGAGCTGCTGCTTCTCGGAGCACTCAAGAGAGCAACGTTACAGTCGGGCCGAGGCCAGACGAACATCCTTCAATCACACGAGGCCCTCCATCGGCCAGAACAAGCAGAACATCCAAGGGCACCCTTCCCCAGGATGCACACAACCACTGGTGACCACCTCACGGGCACGAAGAACAGCAGGGCACACCCTCCCCGAATCGACCTCGATCTTCTACCCCGGTCCGACTGCAGAAGGGACCGGCTCAGGGGAACGAGCAATGACGTAAACACAAAAACTCGGAAGTCCGGGCGGACTCCTCGGATCGGCGCTGGGGCCCCCCGGCGGCGCCTCCAGCGCCGATCTGAGGAATCCGTGCGAAGCACCGAGTTTAATGATCGTGTTTTTGTTTGTTCCCAGGCGGCTGAAGGTGGGGGGACGGAAACATCGAAATGGAATCGGCGATATCTCGCCGTTAGAATCCCCGGTGGCGAGTCCAGACGGCCGTCGGGCCCCCCGAGCAGCGAAACCGGCGATCCGTGCTCCTGCACTATATGCTGCAAGACACCCGCCCCTCTCACACGACAGGCTTGTGTCGTGCCGACTCGGGCATTGCTTCCTTGACTACCTACCAGACCACCCCAACCCCACTCGAAGACCCGACTTTCGGGTGGGGAGGGGTACGGGTTCCATATGCGCGTGTGTTTTCTCATTGTTCCCCGACCCCCCCCCCCACCTGGAAATGGAGGGCGAATTGAGGCCTTCGGGTTGGGTTGGGGTGGCTCGGTGGGTGGTGATTCCTGACACCGATGGGATGCACAGAGACATGCTGGTGTATTATGTTGCCCCCATCGTACTTAAGGATCACATCCCGCCAAAAAATGTCGAGCACGCCGAACAGTATCGAAACGGTGTCGAATGAGCATCACCTCCCAGGGGTCTTTATGGTGGTCAAGGCGAAAGCCGGTGGGAACATCACAGTACGAGTACTACATGTCCTCCTTGGCAGCGCGCGTCCGACCCGGTCATATAGTAGGCCCACCTTGCAGTATACATGTCTGTCTATTCACATATATATACATATATATATATATAGATATACCTATACGACCGCCTTTCGGGTGAAAAGGAGGTTGTGGGAGGGGGGGGAAAGGGGGGGGAATCAATATCTGACTCAATCGATCTCACTATCGATCTCACTCAACGGGACACCACGGGACACCACGTGACACTTGTCGATCTCGCTATCGATCTCACTCAACGGGACACCACGGGACACCACGGGCCACCACGGGACACCGCGGGACACCTGTCGATCTCAATATCGGTCTCACTATCGATCTCACTATCAATCTCACTCAACGGAACACCATAGGACACCACGGGGCACCACGGGACACCTCGGGACACCACATCGATCTCACTATCGATCTCACAATCGATCTCACTCAACGGGACACCACAGGACACCACAGGACACCTGTCGATCTCACTATCGATCTCACTATCAATCTCACTTTTTGGGACACCACAGGACTCCTCGGGGCAACGCATCGATCTCAGTATCGATCTCACTATTGATCTCACTATCGATCACAACGGGACACCATGGGACACAACGGGCCACCACGGGCCACCACGGGACACCGCGGGACACCGCGAGCCACCGCAGGACGGGCGGAAGGAGGATAATCAATTGTCTTGACTTAGCCCTAACAACGGCGGACGCCACGGGACATCACGGGACACAACGGGACACCGCGAGCCACCGCCGGACGGAGGATAATCATTTGTCTTGACTTCGCCCTAGCAACGGCGGGCACCACGGGACACCACGGGACACAACGGGACACAAACGGGACACCAGCGGGACACCGCGGGCCACCAGCCGCCGGAGGAGAAACATTTGGTCCGGCCGCGAACCAGCCACAGGAGGTTTTCGGGACACCAGCGGGACACCTGCGGGACACCGCGGGCCACTGGCCGCCGGAGGAGCAACATTTGGTCCAGCCGCGGCCCATCCACAGGAGGATTTCCTCTCGCCCGCCTACGCAGCTTCGCCTCGCCCGCAAGAACGCAAGACACGAACCCGAAATCGAAATCGATTTCCCGGTAGGGGGGGTCTCCGTTTCACATCGGTCTCACCCCCCAACCTCCGATGAATATATATATATATATATATATATATATATATGTATATATATATATATACATATTTATATCCATACATAAATGACTGCATTGGCGCTTCCCGCCATGCACCTTGGTCCTTGAGGCTTTGCTTATGTTGGTCGTTCACGCCATCCCTAGTGGCCTTCAAAATTTGACCCCTTCCCTGTGGTGGTTTTCGGAAACCTTCGAATGTTCTGGCGGTCCGTGGCCCTTCCCGGGCCTCCGGGGGCTCCCGAAAGGCGCTGGGTGAACAGCGAAGGATAGGAGGGAGGGAATCTCGGGAAGCGTGGAGAGCGAAGCGGATGTGGGGGAGAACGAGTGGTGGAGCGGCAGAGGAGGAGGAGGAGGAGGAGGAGGACCCAGAGAAGGAGCAGAAGGAAAAGAATGGCGCCGTCGGGGGGCGGCGAAGAATTCCGGTTGCGCCGCACCGAAGAGCGCTGTCCAGAAGCCAACGGCTACGGTTTCATGTGTACGTTCACGCTTGCAGACATGGTATACGTACACGCTTGCAGAAATGCTTGGCAGTGGATGACGACGAAAGGCTTTCGTAGGCCCGCACATTGCCCGCTCGTGGCTCAGGCGTCCTGGTGCGCAATGCGAAGGAATGGCAAGCCATGCGAATGAATGCCAAGCGAACCGACGCAATGGCAAGCAATGCCGCAAAGTACAAAACAATGCCAAGCAAAGGATGTAATGTTGCAAAGGGCCGCAACGGGGCACGCGCCAAAGTAAGCAATTCTTGGGGAACGCACCGGATCCTGGGTTCGCAAAAGATTTCCGGGAAATATGGCTGCGAACCTAGGATTCGGGTCAGTTTGGTGGAAAACGCCGTGTGGGCCTTGTTGGAGCACTGGTGGGCCGGCTTGGGGCCCTCTCGAGCCGTCCTGGGGCCATCTTGGGCCGTTTTGGGGAGCTTGTGCCCTCTATGGACCTTATGGGGGCTACGTGAGCCTCCCAATGGGCCTCCCATGGCCTTCTTGAGCATGTCTTGGAGGGTGCGCCGCTGGATCTCCCCAAGGAGGGGGGGGGGTTAGGACCCCCCCCCCCCTTCCCCGATCCGTCGTCGGGGAACCCCCCTCCCCCCCTTCCCCGATCCGTCGTCGGGGACCCCCCCCCTCCCCCTCTTTCCCCGACCCGTCGTCGGGGACCCCCCCCTCCCCCCCATCCCCCCTTTCAAAAGGGGGGGGGGATTCCGACCCCCCCCCTCCCCCCCTTTCGCCACGCCGCCCCCTGACTCCGGAACCCGACCCCCGCCACCCCTACCCCTAGTCCTCGCCCTAACCCAAACCCCTAATCCTAACCCCAACCACTAACCCCAACCCCAAAGAGCACTCACTACTCATTACTCACGACCAACTACTGACTACTCGCCATTCGCTACTCACTTCTCACGACCCCCTACTCACTACTCACGACTCACTACTCACTATCCACTACTCACTACCCACCACCTACTACT